AAGATCCAAATTCATTCTTTAAGTAATTTCAATACAATAAGGATTCCTTTTATTCAGTATATTAATCATATAATAAACAAATGAAATTGATTCAGAATTCAATTACTAATACAAATAATTTTCACTTTTATTTTTTATTTGTCATTTTGCACTGCAGTTCATTTTCATTTTAATTTTGTTCTTAAAGGGATTGTAAAAAGGTCTTTTAAATTTAAATGTGTATAAATTGTGGCTATCTTTATTACATCTTAAAGGGGTCATAAAGAGGTTTTTTAAATTGTTTTAATATTAGTATCAGGGACACTGATAGCATCAATTTGCACCATTCCAATTTTCAATCAGATGTCTGTAGTTCTTGCCACTAGATATTTTATGAAGTCTCTATCACAAAGGACCTTAGTTATTATTAGTAGCATAGTAGTATTAGTGAAATTGCACGAACAAAAAATGTCTGAAGAAAATTTGTGAAAATTGATGCCATCAATGACCCTGATTACCATAAGATTTTTAAAAAAAACGTCTTACAATCCCTTTCATGGATTATATAGGATATTCTGAATACTGGTTTCTACAAGTTCTCTTACCTGTAATCAGCAAACATAGTCATAGAATCAATGTCTGTAAACTCTCCAAAACCTTCTCCTTCACAACAACCCCAGACATCAGATATCAATATCTGAGCTCGCTTGTAAAAACTTACTATAAATAGATTGATATAGACCTTTGGATAAAGATACCTGCGACCTGGTAAACAATTTTTGCGGAGCTCAATTCCGGTAAATGTCTTTTCTATATATGATAGAGCCTCAAGAAAAGACGAGTCGTCATTTTAACTTTCAAACGCTGATAATTCTGGACACACATGGATTTCAAGGCTCAAATTTTGACGGTGAGCTGTGAACACTATTACTGATTAACTTAGCTGAAAAAATCGCGTTTCTGAAACTAAGGTATGATTAGGACAACAGATGGCGATCCTGTGGCCTTAATACTTTTACCAGTGTGTTTTAAAGCACGTTTGTCTTGAAATTTAAAATCTTTGACCTTGACCTGAAATTAGTATTAGATGTCCGACATCTACGTCTAGTTTTAAATGGCATCTAACAACAGCTTTTCTCAATTCTATAGAGTTTGCCATATCATTTGTACTTCTTTATTTCTAGCATATCATGAGCTGATAAAGTCTTTGAATGGCATTTAGCAATTGTGAGTACGATATATAGACACAGCTTTATAGAACAACAATCACTGGTTAAATTTTTGACCTATTTACCCCTTCGGCACATAATGATAAGAAGTGATGGGCAAACTACATATACATTAATGTTTAATCTCTTGCGTGTTCTTAATAATAAGCATTAAAGTATATATAGTTTGCCCATCACTTCTTATCATTATGTGCCTGAGGACGACAGGGAAAACACATTGAAACGTTGTATAAAACTTTAACCAGTGATTGTTGTTCCACAAAGCTGTGTCTATATATGACATAGCTGATGTCCCTTATGTAAAAATAATATGAAGACGAAGAGATACCTTGCTTTCCCGTATACTCCCCCTCATCTCGGTAAGCAGGAAACTCCTCTACTATTAATGCCAGTAAATTCTGAGCACTTTTCTCTGCCTTCTTGATACAATTTATAAAACTTCCATCATATTTCTAGTTAAATTGAAAAAGATACATTAAAAAATAAAATAACAGGAACTTTAATATCTGGTTTTCCTATACTTCAACAATATCATGATTAGAACAAAATTAGCAACAGTCAACAGTAAAATGCAACATCTTCACAATGTCCAACTTTTACAACTTTGTCTTATACCTTGACTGAAATAGCCACCTTTATTGTGTCCAAGCAGTTTGTAAATGCAGTGATTTGAAAGGAATATAGCCAATCAAAGGCCTCGACAAAACACAAAGCGATTCATTATGTTTACAGTTTTTCTGTCAAGGGCTCTGATTGATATTGTGAAGATGGCAATGTCATTACCTTGATTAAGACTTTACCAGCTTCATGTAAAACTTCCACTCTTTCTTCTAACAATGGTATATCAAACTCAGTATCAGACCTCAAAATATGGGCTAATTTTTCCTTAGTTATAGTGGCATAAAAATTTGGGTCTGTCACTTCAACACCCTCCTGTAAGAATAATGTTGGCTGTTAAAAGGATGAGGTCATCTAAACTGTCTTGTGCTTTATCAATCTGATCTGAGTTTCAGCCACCTGAATGGTTGGTAGATGTCAGCAGTTCAAAGAATGAATTGCCTATACACTTTATCAGCTGATGGATCTGATTTTCAGCCACCTGAATGGTTGGTAGATATCAGCAGTTAAAAGAATGAATTGCCTATACACTTTATCAGCTGTTGGATCTGAGTTTCAGAATGGTTGGTAAATATCAGCAGTTAAAAGAATGAATTGCCTATACACTTTATCAGCTGATGGATCTGATTTTCAGCCAACTGAATGGTTGGTAGATGTCAGCAGTTAAAAGAATGAATTGCCTATACACTTTATCAGCTGATGGATCTGATTTTCAGCCACCTGAATGGTTGGTAGATATCAGCAGTTAAAAGAATGAATTGCCTATACACTTTATCAGCTGTTGGATCTGAGTTTCAGAATAGTTGGTAAATATCAGCAGTTAAAGGAATGAATTGCCTATACACTTTATCAGCTGATGGATCTGATTTTCATCCACCTGAATGGTTGGTAGATATCAGCAGTCAAAAGAATGAATTGCCTATACACTTTATCAGCTAATGGATCTGATTTTCAGCCACCTGAATGGTTGGTAGATATCAGCAGTTAAAAGAATGAATTTGCTGAATATACTCTTTATCAGCTGATGGAGCTGATTCAGCCATCTGTAGATGCCAGTAGTTAAAAGGATCTGCTTTATCAGTTGAATGAAGCAGATCTACAGCTATTTGAATGATTGGCAGATTATAGCTGTTCGGCCAAGCACCTCTGACCAGTGATCACTTAATATTTTGCAAAAAAACCAGTAAAATTAAGCACTTCCTTATTTGGCTAACAATATTTCCGATCCAATATTTCCTTTGATTAGCAAAAATAAAAAAGTTATCACGACAATCTGCGAATCAAATATAATTGAAAATATTTGAAAGTTTACTACTGGAACATCTTAAATCACTACCAAATTTCACCTTGACCTTGAGCATAAATTAGGATTTTCTTAGACTTTAATATTCTTTAATTTTCTATTTAGGAACTTCAGTTAGGATCTAAAGGTTGGTCCAAGAAGCATTAGACTACTTTCTCAACTGAATACACATTTAATTCGTGTCACAAAAATCCCAGTGTTGGAAAGGGAAGACATTTGATTCGCTGGCAGTGTCATCAAACTGATGAATGTTCAAGGGCAGCACCTTTAGATCCTAACTGAAGTGGCTAGATTAAAAAATAAAAGAAATAAAAACAGAGCAAATGTTTGTTTTAATTCAAATTACACTGCTTACTAACCTAGCTTTTATGTGACATACTTACATCTATGGCTCTGTTGATAGCGGCGCACAATGACCAATATCCTGTGTGTTCTTTACCATTATATTTTACTTTATATTTTTTACTTTCATCATCAGAATAGAAAGAGAAATTCAAAGTATCGGCTAAAAAAACCCTGAAAGATCCAATAGAAATTTTTTATTAGAACTTTTGGTGGCAGTTTTTGGGAAAGTAATGCTGATTTTTCTCAATGCTCTTCTATTTCAGCTATCACACCATTGAATAAAAGAAAACTGGATGTTGAGACAATTTGCATATGTATGTTGTCAATTAATAGTTCATACTATCTATCTGTTAAAGATAGGTTTTCTTGTTTTTTTAGTGTCAAATTAAGCCAAATATTTGATAAATTGGTGTTTCTAATGATTATTCATGTATTCTTAATCATATCATTATGATCTTATTGTATATAATTAAGAGTTTTAACTAATCATAAATGTCCATGTATATACAGTCTGGATAAGCAAAAAATACTTTTTGACCTTGTTGATCGGTCACTCATTGGAATTCTCTTCTAATTTAGCTAATTATGAATTAATTATGACATGTGAGACAAACTGGTATTTTTCCAAGTCATTAGAACACCTCTACTTGCTATTCATAATTGAAAACAAGGGAACCCATCTTTAAAGCCGCAACAATTCTTGAAATTGTGATGAAATACACTCAAAGATATTTATCAAAGCTGAAATTTATTGTGATAATTATCACGATTTATCTATAAGATGACAAAGAAATAAAATAGTAGAAATTTATAAAATCAGAACAATTTTATCAATATTTGGTGCTGATACATCGTGATTATTTTTATCGTAATGCATCGATAAGAAGGAAAGAATCGTGGGTCATTGATTTTTCGGTGAATTGTTGCAGCCCTACTATCTATATAAATAAATTCTGTACCGTTATAATGATAAATGTTTACTAACCAATCCACTGCTGCCTTATCTCCTGTTTTTGGATTCAGTTCATGTTCTTTCCAAGCTTTGACACTGTATGAATCTTTCTTAACATGTTCAAATACCTATATTAATGTAATATGACACAAGAATATAAAAAATCAAATGGGAAGATATTTTCATTGGGATGCCAAATTGACTTTTTTTTTCCATTCGTGTGAATTGGTTGTGGATGGTTTCATGTGTTTTTGCACCTTGTTTTATCATGAATTTTTACCTTGTGACCTAGGCCAGTGCTTTTATGGTCCTATCACCATTCTCTTTTAGCCCATAATGTCTCTTTAAAGACATAATATGAAGGCATCTCTTATTTTGTTTATAAGCAAAATGGTCATCAACCAGCAATTCTGGTGGTTGATTGTAAATTATCATTCACTTACCAATTGGGCCACTTTCTTGACACCCTCAGTAGCAATAGAAACATCTTCACTTGTTTCAGCAATATATCTCCCTGATTCTCTTGGATTCAGAACATTTTTCATTTTGATCAAGTCAATCAGGTACAAACTGAAATGAATGGCATTTTGCTACAGGTTACAATACTACCAAGGCTGAGGCTAGGTATGAGCGAGATAGGCCGATAGGCCTGGGGTGTTTGATGTTTGCTCGCTAGGATGGAAGATACAGAGGTCTGTCTGTTTTTTACTTAAAAGTCGAAATGACCATTGTGGTATTTTTCACCTTGGTCATCCTGTCTTAAAAATATTTTCTGTGGCAATTTCAATGAACTGGGGCTATAGGCGCTACCGACTGATGAGGTCTTCAAGTTCAATATCCCTTGTCACAGTCAGTGACAGTTGAAAATTCAAATAGGCTGTCACCTCATTCACAATTCATTATGTTCATCAACCCAAAAGACATATATATCCATTTCATTTCATTTGCAAAGATACTCAGAAATCAACATGGGATGGCATGACAGCGAAATACATACACCCCAAATTCAGCGTGGGACAAAGAACCCCAATTTTGCGCGCGTCCATTTGATTGAGACAATGTCAACTGAAAATTTTTACCTCTAATGTTAACTGTTGTATAGTGTCTTCTTCTTAACTAGTTTTTGTCTAGTACCAACGTGAACTTATGTAGGATTTATGCGAATTATCGGTCTCTTATCTAAGGTTACCTGCACCGTTGATAAAAGTAACCGGATGTGGAAACTTTCAGTTTATTGTGCGTTCGGTTGACTTTTAATCCGAAATTTTCTAGTATTATATGTCAAATCCATCTTGTTGGATTGAGGGCGATGGTTTTGAAAATATTAAAGGCTTTACTGAAGTTGAGCTTCACAACCTATTCGAATGACAACACTGTCAAATTGTTGGTCAGCGTTTTGTGTAACATCATTGTCATTTAGAATCGTAGCCATTCTCGCGGGAATTATGACTATACATTCTGTTGTATAAAATCTTTTGGACAAGCTGCAGTCACAAAGTGACATCAAACAGGTTTTTAGAACAGAACAGATTTTATTCAATAGAAACAGGTTTTTAATAATTTAAAAGATTGAAGATTTATAAATATTATACAATTACATTCAGTAATGTCGTGTCTCTCGGTTGACTAACCCAACATTCTAAGCTTCATCCTGGTCGCCTTCTTCTTCATCAAATTCACCTTCTTCTTCAGCTGTAGCATCCTGGTACTGTTGATATTCAGATACCAGATCATTCATATTAGATTCAGCTTCAGTAAATTCCATCTCATCCATACCTTCACCAGTATACCAATGGAGGAAAGCCTTTCTTCTGAACATAGCAGTGAACTGTTCTGAGATTCTCTTGAACAGTTCCTGGATGGCTGTCGTATTACCAATAAAGGTACCAGACATCTTCAAACCTCTTGGTGGAATATCACAGACAGCAGTTTTAACATTGTTCGGAATCCATTCCACGAAGTAGCTGCTGTTCTTGTTCTGAACGTTCAACATCTGTTCATCTACTTCCTTCATAGACATACGACCTCTGAACATAGCAGCTACTGTCAGATAACGACCATGACGAGGATCGCAGGCAGCCATCATGTTCTTGGCATCGAACATCTGTTGGGTGAGTTCTGGTACAGTGAGAGCTCGGTACTGCTGGGAACCTCGAGAGGTCAGAGGAGCAAATCCTGGCATAAAGAAATGCAGACGTGGGAATGGTACCATGTTTACAGCCAACTTCCTCAGATCAGCATTAAGTTGACCGGGGAATCGAAGACAGGTGGTCACTCCAGACATTGTGGCTGATACTAGATGGTTGAGGTCACCATAAGTAGGCGTGGTTAATTTGAGGGTACGGAAACAGATATCATACAAAGCCTCGTTATCAATACAGTAAGTCTCGTCTGTATTTTCTACCAGTTGATGAACTGACAGTGTGGCGTTGTAAGGTTCGACAACAGTATCTGATACCTGAAAATTGAAATAAGGTTAGATGAAGATTTTCAGATGACTTGGATGATAGACCAATTAATGCGGTAAACGATTCTGGATTTGTTTTATATATGTAAGTGCGTATTTCAGTACAGGAACATAGACTTCTTAATTTTTGTGTCAAATAACAAAATTGGATAATACTTTAGTTGGTGATTTCATATATGTGTTTTAACAAAAATAAATCATATCTTATTATATTACCTTTGGTGAAGGACATACAGAGAAGGTGTTCATAATTCTATCTGGATATTCTTCGCGGATTTTACTGATCAGGAGAGTACCCATACCAGAACCAGTTCCACCACCCAGAGAATGGGTCAACTGGAATCCTTGTAGACAATCACAGCTCTCGGCTTCTTTACGGACCACATCAAGAACAGAATCTACCAATTCAGCACCTTCTGTATAATGACCTTTAGCCCAGTTATTACCGGCACCAGATTGTCCGAAGACAAAGTTATCGGGACGGAAGATCTGACCAAATGGTCCTGAACGAACAGAATCCATGGTACCAGGTTCCAAGTCGACGAGAACAGCTCTGGGTACATATTTACCACCGGTTGCTTCATTGTAATAAACATTGATTCTCTCCAACTGAAGATCAGAATCACCGTGGTAAGTTCCAGTTGGGTCAATACCATGTTCATCAGAGATCACTTCCCAGAACTGAAAATACAAAAGAGTACCTGTAATATCTATACATATACGATTGCTGGAGTAGGGGTCTATGAAATTAGACGCATGATAAAGCAAGAGAACTGATTGAAAAGAGTGAAAGTATAATCTCTTGTAGAATTATGAGCGAAATATATTTACCTTGGCTCCAATTTGGTTACCACATTGGCCAGTTTGCATATGAACGATTTCTCTCATCTTGACGTTGTTGTAAAGTGTTAACAACGAGCGTAAAAGAGTTAAAATGTGATACTAAATGAAGTATTTAGAAATTAATGATTATGCTTACAATACTTCAGTAATTTATAGGGTCAGATTTCGTACACCATGACAACGTAATGTATTACTGAAGTAGATTATCACAAACAGATTAGCATTGGATTAATGGATTATATCTAATTAGCTATATAAAGGGAATTTTTTATGCTCGTCATTTCTTCTCTTTTTATTCACGATTTAATTTAACTGAATCCTACATTATTTGTTTCAGAACCATAAATTGGAAATAAACACTCCCCTTAAACACTTATAGGCCCATACACTATAAAAAATCACTGACGAATCAAATTTCTAAATAGCATTTAAAGATCTATCGACTTTAAAATACTTTATTTTTCCACTTTGTTGTCTTGATTTCTACCTTGAGATACCCATCTGTAGCCTACTAACTATATGTAACTTGTCTACATTTATTTAATACAATTCGTTATTTCGGACTACATAACGTTTCGAACGTAGCAGAAATAATCCACTATTTTCACTTCCGGTGTAAATAATAAGCATGGCGGATCTGTTACTTGACTCAAATATTAGAATTTGGGTATTTTTGCCCATTGTAGTTATAACTTTCCTTGTTGGTATCATCCGACATTATGTAACCATTTTACTGTCATCAGAAAAGAAATCAGATTTGCAGCAAGTTGCCGATAGGTAGACTTTTAAGCACTTTTTTCACGTCATTCTGACATTTTTATTCTATGAATTATTGAAACTGAAAGATTGGCCTACGTTTTGCATTTATTTTCATATAATCTCAACCTTTCCTTGATGTACGACTGAGGAATTGGTGCATTAAAATCTATATATGATTAAATATTGCTCTGGTGTGGCATCCTAAAAGTGGTTAGACTGAAAAGTATTTTTAGTTGAAAAAATTAAGGCAAGAGTTCATATTTGGCAATAATACATAGTTTGTGTTCATGTTGGCTATAGGCTTAAGCTTAAAGGTTATCTAGCCTATTCTTTTCAAAAGTGGGATCTGAGCAGACAGAGCCATCTGCACCTCTGATGTGTCTGACTAGAGTAGAGTCAAAAGTCCTAGCCTACAAACTATTTGATTGAAAACATTACCCTGAGAATTTGACACTGTGTATTTGTATTTTCAGTCATGCTTTAATGAGAAGTAGAATATTAAGAGAGAATGGTAAATATATTCCAAAAGATGTAAGTAAAAACAAATTCCAGTTGATCAAGTAGATACACGTTGGGTCAACACACTACATTATAGTAGTGTAAATAGCGTTCACAGCTCATTGTCAAAATGAGCCTCCGAACCAGAATTATCTGAGTTTAGAATTAAAAAAGATGACTCATCTTTTCTTAAGACTCTGCCATATATATAAGAGACATATATTTGAATTAGTAAATGGAATTCCTGTATTTTTGAAGGAATAATGCGATTTTTGTACATTTCTAGTACTTCTGAAGACTATTTACATAAAATCAGAGACCCAAATCAATCCCCAAAATGGCGAATCTGTCACTTTAAGTTCAAAGAACTCATAATTCCTCTAAGCATTTGCGTGACTGTTTCAGATAGCATCAGATATATGAATGTATTATGTTTGAAAATAATAAATATTGTTTTTTCTTCTTGTAGTCTTATTTAATCAGAAAGAGTTTTTTCAACCATGAAGAGAAAGGATTTTTTAACACAGAAAAAAGGGAAGCTCAAGTGAAAAATCCGATGACAGGTAAAATTGAAATGAGTTTCCTCCTACAATCTAAAAACGTATTTTAATAAGGCAGATTTCAAACTAGATGTTATTTTTTAAATTTGACTGTTTTATGATGTAACAAGCAAATGACACATGGATTACTCCTTCAGTTAGTTCACAATATTTACAAAAACCTTTATATTGTTGAACACTGGAAAAAAGAATTTGTTTAAAGTTGGCACACACTCCCCTTGAATTCAATGTAAAATGAAGAATTGATTTGTATTTCTAGATCCAAGTATGATGACAGACATGATGAAAGGAAATATAACTAATGTATTACCAATGATAGTTATAGGTGGTTGGATTAATTGGGCTTTTTCTGGCTTTTTAACAAGTAGGTTTATTGTTTATTTTTGGATTTATTTAAAGGGATTGTAAAGAGGTTTTCTAGAAATGTTATGTGTATCGGGGACACTGATAGCATCAAGTTGCACCATTCCAATTTTCAATCAGACGTCTGTGGTTCCTGTGATTCAACTATAACCAAGTGTTTGATAAAAAAAAAGAAACAAAATTGTGATCATATTCTCAGTAGATTGACTTATTAAACTGACTATATTTTTCAGCAAAAGTTCCATTTCCATTGACTTTAAGATTTAAACCAATGTTACAGAGAGGTGTAGAGTTACAGTCTTTAGATGCTTCATGGTATGTATCAGTAACTTCATTTTAAAGGTGCCATTCCGGATAGGATATTGCAAATTTGAAATTACTGTCTTTGCAAATTCGTCAGTAAATTGTATTTTATGCATTATATCCATGTAAATTGGAATAGACCTTATTCACGCCTAGTTCATGAGTCACTATGCAAATTACATCATCCATTGAACAGATGAAGGAACAGTGATGTCACTTAACAACAAGAAAAGGAGATAAAATTCATCTGAAAGTATTATTAAATAGCTTAATGAACTCTGATTTTAAGTTTTGAGTCAGTAGGATTGGAGAAAGAGGCTTTAAAGACGTCAAGGTGGCGATATTACTGCAGTGACACACTGTTACCTTTTGTTTGTGTTATGAGCCTCATTCTGGATTCAATATGGCTGACACATCTATATCAGCATCAAAAACCTACTGATAGTCATAGATTGACTTTGTGTGGTGAAATGTCCAGACATAATCACATATTGAAATATTTTTTTTTATGGAAGACAGTTTTCATTTTGGGGATAAAAAAAACCTGTGCACATGTCACATTTATATTTTAGGGTGAGTTCAGCATCATGGTATTTTTTAAATGTATTTGGTTTAAGAAGCATGTATACTTTAATATTAGGTCAAGATAATGGTAGGTATTATTAGTGTGATTAATGTTTTCATATTTCTCTACAATTAGGCGTTTATTTTACTCAAATCTGTGCAGTAGATTTCTTACAGCTTCAAAAAGCATGACAAACTTTAAAAGTTAAAGTTTTTAAATAATTTTTTTAGTTAAAACTTTCAGTTACATTAAGGGACACATTTCTCTAGAATTTGGTGTAAAGTTTTCACAACCTTGA